TCTTCATTTCAATTTTGTAGCCTGCCTCAGTTTTATTTTTGTCTTTTGAATTACCTTAAATTTTTCTTAACAAACCTTCCAACTTTTATTCTACTCTTCCTCCTCCCGCTGATAATAAAAGTGGAATTAATGTGATGTTTACAAGCTTTTCCAGCAATCACCCTGCTTAAATATTTTATTTCCTCCCTAATCCTCTTTGCCCAGTTTGTTTAGACTACAAACTCATCAAGTCAGGGACCATTTCTCCTCCATGTTTGTACTACTGAGGACAAAAGGGCCCTGTTTTCAAATGCCTCCCAGTGTTAAAAAAATAACTAAACTGCCAATCATAATAGCAAGAATTATTTAAACAAGCTGTCTACCATTCAGAGTGACCTTGGTACCCTGGTAAAAATGATTTAGCAGCTAGTAAGACTTCAGCCATTAAGTGTTTAAGCCATTTTTGGAAATGGCCAAGCATCCAACAGTTTTAAAAGACTCTAGACAACTACTAATTTTTGAAATGTTTTCGTGGAGGTAAAATGCTAGAAGATTATATGCTATGAATGTGCAATATAAACAATTCCTGCAACATGATGTTGTGATGATTCCCTGACCTTTTAATGCCAACAAGTGGCAAAATTCAGGTCACTGTACCTGCATCCCCAGCTGAATGCACAGCACTGTCGTATGCCGCTGAATTGTGCTGGAAGTCTTGCAGGTTTTGAGACCACAACCTCACGTTCTCATCCATGGGGGTTGTAGCCTGTGTTACTGTCATGGTGGCACTTATGGCCTCTGCAGTCTTTAGTTTGGCTTGTTCTAAACGTTCTCTGGCCTCCTCTGCAAAATAAATAAGGGATGAGGAGAAATGAAGTCTTGCAAAGATTCAAGTGAGCTGTAATGGTACTTAGAAAGTGGTGAGGCTGAGGGGATTTTAACTGCTGCAGAATGGGGCCCCAACCTTGCTTGGTTAGTTTTCTCTTTATTTCCACAGGGAATATTCAAAACTTCCTGTGGTTGGTCTACAATCCTATTAATTCTTAAAATCTAAAAACCTCTCTTTTTCATTCTAGATTGTTAGAAATTTTCAGTGTCCTTAGATTTTGATAGGTGTTATGTATGGAAAGAAATTGGAACAGAGATGAAAAAATAGACTGTTTTTCATCAAGTTTTTAAAAGAAAATGCATGTATTTGTTGATGTTTTTCATGAGTTATTTTGAAGAGAAAAATACAAGAAGCTGAAGTGTTTGGGGTTTTATTTGTCATACATGGCATTTTGGGTTTTTTTGTTCTCCTTTTTTTAAGTTACCAATCACTGCATGGCAAAACCCATGGCATTTTGCATATGATGATAATGTATAGGGAAGTAACCCCAGCCATTTTTAGTCAGTTGATGAAGAAATCTTGACCATGCCAACTTTGAACACCTTTGGATATACCTGCTTGATTCTCCATGATGTCTCTTTTCTGAAAAACTAAGGTGAGGTTTTGTCAATCAAGACTGCCAGTAATTACTTCCCAAATACTCTACTTGCTAGGTGTGATGTGCACATGAATTAGATTTTAGGACAGTAAAAACACAGACTTGCAGATTCTCCAAGCTCTCAAAAGATGAAGAGTAACACAGGAGAGGATAATTTTACTAAGAAGAATGAAGAAGAATGTTGATAATTTCAGCTGGCAAGGCATAAAGTTCATTATGAATATGTTAAAGCTAGGTGCTTGCTATCTGTGTCTTGTCATTTCAAATTCCTTTAGGGCTCCCTGGGACTGAAATCTTAATACAACTTCATAGGTTATATGCAAAGATAAAATATACTCTTAAATGTACAAGATAAAACATCATCGAGATGAAGTTCCTCTTACAACCTGGCTCAGCTGATTGTATTTTTGTGATGGCTCTCATTAGGTGGCTTCGCAGAGCATTCATTCTAGCAAAAGTGCCATTAACATGCTGGCTAGTGTCTGCAATGGTTAAATCATTACCTGTGGGGAGAAAATAGGAGGCATAGTTGAGTGGAATCAAAGTGGCATTTGAAAAGGTAAATTTTATCCTGTACAGGTATGTTATTAAGCATTTATTGCACCATAGGCAGTATACTATGGCGTTTTTTTTTTGTATAGGGCATACTGGCACACTTGAGTTCAGATAATCTAAAGGAAGAACCAGCCTTGCAGCTCCCAGCCATTATTTGTTTGCCACAGGGTGTCTTAGAAAAAATCTGGAGACCTATATCTCAGTCAGTACTATGTCTGTTTGCTTTACCAGAACTGCTGAGAATACTCCAACAACTATACAGTGAAAGTTTTGGGGAACTCAAAAAGTCCTGAAAAATTGAAGAGGTAATTTCTGTAATTTTACAGCTTGTTTTCATTTTCCATGAAAAAAGGCTAAAATCTCTTAACATTTATTATTATACTTCACTGGTGAAATCCAGGTTTCTGAACACTTAAAGTGCTGTGAATTGATTTCAGTTGAACTACTTGATTGAGTATATTTACCTGTGGACAACTGTTTGCACGATCACATATTTAAACAGTGATTTGTATCTGAAGTGGGCCTTCTGAGAATGAAATAAACATTCAGCATCTGGCAGGATGACAACACATGATCTACTCAAACTGTGCCTGTGGCCATTTCAAGTACTTTATGTGGTAACTTCGATCAATACATTATTCTGTTACAGCACTAGTTCTGCCTTAGTGATATGCTTTTGAAATTTCTTTTAGCATGCATGTTAATAAACTGACTGGGAAAGTAGAAAGGATGTATATTTACTGTCATATGCTGTCCGATGTAGCTCCATGGCTTGGTTGAGAAGTTCTTCGCTTTTACCTTTATGGTAAATAATCTGAGTATCAATTCCAACTGCAGCCTGCAAGTATGTTCCAAAAAAGAAAGTCGGAGTAATCATAGACTCATAGAATGATTTGGGTTGGAAAGATTGTCTAGTTCCATCCCCACTGTTATAGGCAGGGACACCTTCCACTAGACCAGGTTGCTCCAAGTCCCGTCCAACCTGGTCTTGAACACTGCCAGAGATGGGGCAGCCACAGCTTCCTTGGGCAACCTGTTCCAGTGCCTCATCACTCTCGCAGGGAAGAGTTTCTTCCTAATATCTATCTATACGTAGGGACAGAAGTTATGTCTTTTCAAACACCAGGGGACTTTAGGCTTGCAGAATAATTCAGGAATAGTGGATGAAGCAAAATGTGCAGTGAGAAGGCCAATGCTGACATTTAAGTTTTTTTGTTGTATTTTTTTTTTCCTCTTATACTTCGGTGTCTGAAATCCCTAAAGCTTTGCAAAGTAAAAGCTGGCATTATGAAAATTACTTACATCGTTGACCCGGTTTGTTGTGTTCAGTGCCACCAATGCAGCTTTATTAGCTTCTTCAATATAACCAGCAATGTTTTCATAAACATTTGAAGCATTTATTGCCCTTTGTACCAAACCATTTGTATCAACACCATACAAATTCCTGTTAAAAGCAGAGTGAAAGGAGGAAGAAACCAAACTGAATCTAAGTAGTTTCAAACTGATTAATTTTCTTAACATTCTGTGAATTCTGACTACATAGTCTTACACATAGATATACTTGGCCTTAGTAGTATTCTTTTCAATATGTATGAACATTTATGTCAATCTGAAGCAGGTGAAAACTATGTGGATAGAAGGTTCTTCCCAGGGGTTTAACTCTGGGAATTTTTCACTTAACGTCTGTGTGAGCAGCACCAAGTGACTAACTGAGCTTTTATCTTTTTTAAAATCTAGATTAGATATTCCATAAATTAACAGAATAACAGATCTATTAGTTGTCCCTTAGGGATAACTTATGGCCACGAATGGAAGGACTTGCATGCAACTAGTCAGGAAAGCTGTATGAGTGGGCTATTTATATTTTCCAAAGGTGGGTGGGAAAAGGGGGAGTATTAGGTGAAGAATTTGAAAGACTGCAAAAAGTTACATTTAAAAAACACAAGATAGGTTTGTGGCATGGTATAGCTTGATTTGCATATGAGGTGATAACTGGTCTTCAGGGAAGTTTCCAAACAGCAGGTGGTTCAGGACTTAACCTTCAGCTGCTAGCAACTTTGGATAAATACTAGTTTTTAGTATTTTTATGATAAACAGAATTCATATGCATTTACACATGTGTGTATTCACTTCAAAGTGTTTGCACATTGAGGGATTATTAAGTTTCCAGATTCAGTGTTATTGCAAGAATTTCCTGCTATTTTCCCCTAAGATAAAAGAAGAAACTCTACCAACAGCCTAACAGGCTTATAAAACAAACCCATAAACCCAAAATGATTCGAAGACAGGCTAAATGGTTTAAGGGATTAAAGTTTCACTGCAGGACAATCTTCTCAGCAAATAAAAGAGTCTGCACATTTCCATCTGTATATTTCATAATTATTTCTGTTTGCTTCCTGTTAAATTCCTCTTGTGTTGGACTTGGTAGTAATTTTTTAATTATTTTGGTAAGGGATGAAGGCTGGCCATATGGGGTATTTCCTTTCAAGAGATTCTGCTGCCCCTACTTAGCTGATCTCAGACTGAACATACTGTTTATTTTTCAGGCTGTCTGTAGTTTGTGTGGCGTTACAGAACAGAGTTTCAGATGTCAGCTTTATACAATTGTGTAAAAGAAAACCATCTGTTATTTTTTTCTCTATTTTAATCTTTTATCTAGGGCATACTAATATTAAGAAACAACTGATACTTAGATAATACACTTGAAGACTAAGTTTATCTTACAAAAGGATACGTTGCTTAAGGTAGATTTCGGTGAAATATTTTAGTTAAGAATTCATTTGTAGCAGTGATTTTTCCATGTGTAATCCTAATTGCAAATAAAATAGTATTTCAATTCCATCTAGACATTTTAGAAAATAGGGTGGGGAGAGGAGGATGTGTGTGTGTGTGGTGTGTGTACGTATAAGTTGATGTATTTAGTATCTTCCAGTAAAATAGGAAGACTTACAATAAGTTTTTGGTGTTACAGTGGGCCAGTTACACAGGGACACATTCTGTTGAGTATTGCAACTACTCCATCTGTAAACCAGTTGTTGAACAAAAATTATCCCAAAGCTCAATTGTGGCCCATAATGGTAAATGTTTTTTAATGTGAGCAAACTGACATGAGAAATGTCTGCAAATGCCATTTAGTCTGGCTGTATTATTTTACTTTTCAGTAATCTACCTTTTCTTTCTCTTGCTATGGGAAGAGAAGAACATGCCAGATTAGAAAAGACATGTGTTTATTCTTTGAAAAGATAAATAGATTTTGCTTAGCTCAACTTCAGCTGTTCCCTCTAGATCATGACAAGTCCTTCCATATGTGACTTAACAGTGATTTTTTTAGTGCCTATTTACAGACAGAATACTTAATGTCACTGTATTTCTGCTTGTCTTTTAGTTCAGCTGTTCAATAAGTAACGCTTGTATGACAAAGTCTGCTGAAGTTAAATTTTACCTGTCCAGCTCATCAGCAAGTCTTCTTAGGTTGTGTGCATGTTGCATAGCCTTTTCTACCAAATCATCATCAAACAGAGACAGATTGGCTATTTTTTCTTGCAATTCCTTTTTTGCTCCATCTATTTCTGCGTAGAACCCTGACACGTTCTGAACAAAATATGGAAGGAAAGAAGATGAAAATTGTAAAAAATACTCTGTATTTTGATTATGTTTTATTTTACCCTTTATATTATTATAATATTGTTTTCTGTTACATTTTTAAAATGTAACATGGATTAGTCTAATTTGTAAATCAGTCCACCTTAATACTTCCTATATGTATGTATAGGCAAGGAGAAGTAGTATCCCTTTGTCTTAGCCATAATTCTTCCTCATATGAAATACTTGTGGGGAAGAGCAAATGGGCCTGCATTCACCTTCTCTCCAATACACATATGATATGTTTGAGGATTATAAATGTGGCCTCAAAATACATTAAAAAAGGATGGAATGGAGGGAGAGAAAAGGGATGAATGAGTGAAGTGCAAAAATTCTTATTGCTGATGAGGATGGAAGATGTATGATGTTTGCATACTACTTCCTTCCCTGCAGTGTGAATGTCCCCTGTGCGTAAGCTTATTCACAGGAGTGGGGGACCCGAAATGATAAACTACAGAAATCTGTTTTGCACCAAACACAAATATCTGTTTTTTGTACAAAAACCAAGTGAGATTGAAAAAATAATCATACTGCTTGATGCCCAGGGATCATTATTAAGCAAGCTGCCTTCTTTCTGTTTTCTTTAATCACTTTTCCAAAGAAAAAATTAAGAAATTTTTGATATTTCCTTTTGTGTTTAAAAAAAAAAAAAGTGGGCAACTATGACCAAAATAAATGTGGAGAATTTTCATTTGTCTTAAATTATCTCAAAATTTTAAAACAAAACATGAAAAAGCAGCTTTGGTAAATCTTTTAGTTAGCAAAATCCCAGTTTTATTTTCTTCTTTTTTCCTAGAAAGTGAAAAAGCATAAAATTTCTAAAAATATCCTGCAACATTATAGGATATTTGTCTTATTCAGAACACTGGATATTATCCTAGAGTTCCAAAGAAGGATTTCTATAAGACATGTTTATATATGTTTTACGCTCTGACAGTGGCTTGTTTTAACAGTGATATCTGGGATCTTTAGCCTTCTCCTGTGCTCACTTGCCAGCATGAGAAAGGGAATTTATCATAAAGTGCAGTCTTTTACCAGGGCATCATCTGGCAGCTGCTGGTAATGAAATGATTGAGAACTCTACTGCAAAATCCTTCATTCAGCTCTGCCTCCAGTCAGGCATCCTTATAATATAATTATTTTTCTGAGGCAGTAAAGTGTAATTACAGAGCTTTTCATCTATGAAGATTTATACTTTTCTGAGGGAATATTCATCAGTATTTCATTGAAACAGTGTGAAAAAGGAGATGTTTTTATTTAGTGGTCTACACACACAACTTAAAAGTTAAAAAAATCAGGACATATCATTTAAACAAGTCACTGAGGCACCTACCTTTGTTATCTCACTTAACTCAGAGTTGACCTTTTGTGGTCCTGCCAAAATATTTGTGGCACTTAGCAGAACGCTGTTCACGTCATCAGTTTGCTCTTTTATTTTCTCATGTTGTTTCTACAGAAAATAAGACAAAATCACATCCAAACTAAAAGAGAGCGTTACCATTTTAATTACATTTATTGAAGTTTATTCAAAAGACAAAGTGATGAACTAAATAGATTTTAGACGAATTTGAAGTTTGAGTTTTTCCCAGACATCTCTAATAGCTGCATTTTATGACTCTGCATTTTCTCGTCTTTGTGAAAGAAATGTTGGAGTTTTAAAAACAAAAAATATTTTCATTTTATATTACAACATGAAATTATTGGAATGAAGCATTATTCTCTGCACTGCCAGGAGAGACAAATTAAATGTGGATTTTTCATAGTGGTCTGGAGACTAGTTTTTGATCTACAGTCCAGAGATCTCTTTTTCTTGTCAGTAGCAAAGCTGATGTGAACAATGGCTTGTACAGCATCTGCCTTCATTGTGAGGAATAATGAAGATCCAACTGGTTAAAAACAGTGAACAACTGCAGCTACACACTTCAGGCTTTGCTTCATAAATGTGAGACAAGCTGCAGCTTGGCACTGTAATTATGAAACAATAGAACAACAGAAGAGGCTTTGTACATAAAGATCCCAAGCGTCTTGTAGAAGAATTCGCAAGTACAGCACGCCTGATTTTTCTATTGAATTATTAGACCTTCTACATCAGCATGAACTTCTAGCACTGCAAATTTCAAGAGCTCAAAACTCAGCCACTGATGCTGTGAAACCCAGAGGTTGGCCCGAATTTGCAAGATCGTTCTTCAGATGACAAAATTGCTCCCTAGACCCCTCTCCTTCAGTATCAAAACAATTTCAGCCATTGAAATGAAAAGAGTTTGCTTTAAATGGTCCCAAATTATTCTCTTTGTCATTTTCTTCCTTGCTGAAAAAATAAATGACAAGTTTTAGGTGAGATATTCTGGTGGGACAGAGTAAGAATCACAAAACTTCTGGGAGGGGAAAAAGAACAGTCTTTGTATGGCTGATGGGTTGGGTACTTTGCTGGGATAAGAGACCTGAAAATTCAATTTCCTTATCCTCCAGATGGGATTTGAACCTAATACCACCACTTAAAGGCAAACATGCTCCCCTTCCATGCTGTGGGGGACAGGTCTCCTTTGATGTCTCCTCTGGAGTGATTACTTTGTTCATAATACTGAAACTATTAATTTGAACAGAGCATAAGGGAAAACTGCTACAAACTTATAGCTAGGCTGTTCATCCAGCAAGTAGGAAACCTAGTTTCAGGGTATCTGTTGCGGACCAGTTAGTTAGAGCATGCGTTTGATGGGTTTGTGCTTGAAGATGCAAGGACAATTGTCTGCTTTTCCTGAAAAAGTGGAAATGCATTTTGTTTAAAGAGAACTAGAGAGAAAGTTTGGGCAAGACAGTATGAATGCACTCAGCCCAGGGCATGAATGCAGTGCAGAGGCTTTTAAAATAATTTCTTTAATGGAATATAATTGCTTTCATGAGCAGGAAATCCTTCCACGTTATCAGTACATAACTGGTGAAACAATCCCACCATAAAATTTATAGCAGCATGATACATGCAATTTTAAACTTCTTGGATTTTGTTGAAATACACCTTCCTAGTTTAGTCATTAGTATCCATTTCTTCCTTGGCCTGCAGAGACATGCCAAACCAAAACTTGTCATTTATTTTCACTTCATGAATAAATAATAGCTCCTTATACATCCACAATTTGTTTCTTAGAACTGGAGAGTCAAATTCATCCCACTGAGTAGTCCAAGAAATTCTTTTTTGGTGTGGTGATTCCTGAATCTAAGTTGTTTATGATCTACTATTTTAAACACCAGCAGAGATGGCGTGTTCACAGACAAGATTTACAACAAATGCACTGCACAGTACCTCATGCCTTTGAAGACTGGCTGTGTTTTCCTTATTTATAAGATCTGTTTGTATAACATACTCAAGCGCCTGGTCTAATGCTTCCTCCAGGTCTGACAGCTTCACATCCTGTTCACTGAGCTGCTCCAGAACATCATATACTAGAGATCTGGTGTCATTGTACCTCTCATGAAAATCTTCGACTTGCAGAAGCACTGGGAGAAAAATCAGAGGCCACTCATTAACCAAAAGCTTGGATTTCTGATACAACTCACCTAAGCGACAATTCCAGCTGCTGTTACTCAGGGAACAGTAGAACACATTTGTTAAAAGCTAATTTGAGGGATTATATACCTAGATTTTACTTTCCCACCTGTTTTGAAAAGGAAAGATGCCTCTCATTTTAGTATCTCATTTTAAACCGGTTAATTCCCCTCTCAAGTAGCTTTTCCTAAGAGAAGATAGGTTTGGCTTTTCTTCCTCTTCATTTGCTTTTCATTCTCACAGTGAAACAGTCTGTTCTGGAGCAGACAGTCTTTATTGTACTGGGGCTCTGACTCAGGTTCATCGAGCTGTGAGATCCCATACCAACAGTTTTTCTCTCTCTGCTGGAGTTTACTGTCCCTATGGCAGAGCTGGCAGGGGAGAAGGAAGACGTTCACATGAGCAATTCCAGCCCTGGCATGAACTTTCCTAAGCAGCTATTGCTGAGGTGCTGCAGTGTGCAGGCACACACAGGCACACACATTTTCTGCCCATGCTGCCACGGGGGCAGCAAGCACCAGCAGAGTCTTGGGGCAGGCATTTGGAAGCAGCAGCATCTTCAGCACACTAGTTGGTGCTTGCCAAGTGCCTGCTGGTCCTCCCCGGGGGCTCAACAGCACATCCAGAGCACCCCAGTCCATGCCAGCTGTGCATCAACGTGTGGGTGAATGGAAAACAGACTTAAAACTCACACTCCTCTGCTGCATATTCTTCCTCATGTGCAAGTTGCCTCTGATTAGTGAAAGGCTTACGGCTTCTGATCTCCTGCAGCATCTCCTCAGCCACAGTCAGCTTCTGGGCAATTTCTTCAGGGCTCAGCTCTTGCTGAATTGCATAGTAGTTCATCTTGCTGCTGATTTCTGTGGGAAAAAGGAACAGATGGTCAATCCAGTATGGCTACAGACAACTAAATACTGTGGTGTACTTTTGTGAATCCAGATCATGCTGATGGCAAAAGAAAGTTTTAATTATCTTCTAACTCTGTAGTAGATAATTATTATGTTTAATCCAGTCTTAAAATTAAACCTGTAAATAATCACGCTTTCTGGCATATGTGGGGGTCTTGTCAGAAGGGGAGATTAGACAGGCATGGCATGTGTGCATTACTTGGCTTATTCTGAGTTCTGTTGCATGTAGCTGGCTGGGGAATTCATCCAGGATTGTGGTTTTTAAGTGCTGCCACAAAAATGTTATGTTCATTAAGTAACAACAGCAGTAAGGAGACTGAAGTAACCTCTTTTTCCATCTTAAAAGTTCCCAAAGAGGTAACATATGGCTTCTGGCCTGATACTGCCTTGGAGCAAACCAATATCCTGATATTGGTATCAGGAGTATCAGCTGGTTTGGAGACAGATACTATTTCAACGTTTTGGTCTCCATTCAAAAAACACCGTTGGATCCCTGCAGCTGAAATTGAGTTAACCCTTCTCCAGTGTAGGCATTACAAAGTTTACCCCTTTCTCACTCCCTGGCCTTGAATACCAATCACCTCCTCTTTCATGCCCTATGATGTGACTAGTTTTGGCTTGTGTTCATCACTACTTTTGTGGATAACTAGAGCTGGCAAAGCCAGCACTATGTATCTGTAAGAGTTTAATGAAAAATAGATGTGTAATTGTGGCACAACTCATTCTTTGTCAGAGTGTCTTTGTATGCAGTTTCTTGCTGGCTCCTGAGCTCATTAGTGAAGCCTTAAAGGCTCATACCAAGCAGTAACAGACCATGACCAGTGGCTCCACGGATTTCTTTTTCCTTCTCATGCTGGCGCATGCATGTGTGCGTGTGCACACATAGGCCTTCCATTGAGCAAAGAGTGGCTTGCCTTCTACGGGGGTAGAATAGCTGCAGAAATAAAATGTGACAGATGGCCAGAGAGTCAAAGGTGATTTAGCATCACAGATGTAAGAAGGTAGTAGAAACTTACATACTGTAAGTCTGGTCTCAGCCTGCCTCATTTATGTGACAGTATATCTTAACTATATTTATTGAAATAGTGATTGAAGCACCCATGGTGGTAAGGATAAGCAAGGATAACTGTTGATATGTAACTGCTCTTCTTTATACAAGTTGCCATGGAGCTTGCAGTAATTGCTCTAAGACAGAACTACTCAGATTTCTTAATCAAGTATTTCTATTGAAAAAGGACTGTTTAACCTCAACTGCCAGCCAGCCTTTCTATTCTGGTGCCATATACAGCTTTTGTATACTGTTGGCTTTGCCAAAACTGGGGGAAGTCAGTGTCCTCTACAGCAGGATGAAGGCTTTCATGATACAGATGTACAGGCAACAGGGATGCTTCTGAGTACATTCTGTTGTGGTTTGATTGCTTGCTGTAGGTGCTGAAGAAGAGGCTGCAATTGGTATAATCTCAATTTCACATATCAGCATGATAATGTTATGTCATAGATATTCCAGGTGAAGATGATCATCTTTGACTAGGGAACCTTTTGTAAGTGCACTTGTGCTTGGGAAGGTATTCACTATTGTCATTCAGCCTTTGATTTATAGGGCAGTAAAAATTCTTGAAGATGCAAGAGGTTTTGCAGACTCTAAATAATAATAAAAAATCTTCATCTGGGAAGGTGTAAAATACATACATTTACAGTCAGAAAGGAAGTTATGTTTTGAAATTGATGCTAGATCTAGAGATGCTTTTATTGCTCTAGTGTATTGCCCAAGGATGGACTTTCTAAGTTTTATCTGCATCCCCTCACGTTATATCGACAGATGAGCAGGACACAGAGACAATAGGTGACAGTTTGTCCCACATTTTAACATGAAAAAGCTTTTGGTTTCACTCTTTGCTTAATTTTGGGAGATCATCATCATGTTTACCTCTCCTACTGTGAAACAGCATCACTGTAACTATTTCTGATGGCCTGCACCAGCCACACAGTTTACAATTCTGCCTTTCACATTTACATTTAGAGGCAATGCTTTCTTTGTGGAAAAAGAAGGCAATAAGGATGCAGTTTTCCAGTCTGTTTCTGATCAGTTAGTCTGTAATGCTCTGTAGATGTGTCTGGACCCAAACTCAATTGGAAATTCTGGTCAGATCAAGCAATAAACAGCATGAAAAGAAACTCACCACTACCTCCCACACTGATCTTGGGGAAGCAGTAAATTCACCAGATTATTTACTATTCAGTGTCCTTTTCTTTTTAGAAGCATCTGCATGAAGTTATATGAACCAGCATAATCCTACTCAGCAACAGTTTGCTAAAAGGCAAAAAAAGGGGTTTAAAGTAGCACTCACTGGTGCAATTGCCAGAGTTAATCAGACTGAACTGACTGCCATGGGTTGAAAAGGGAAAGCACAATTTAAATAAAAATCTGTCTAGCAAGTCATATGGCCTCCATTGCTTATCAGCAGCATGGAAAAAGTGCACTTGCATGAATCTGCTGACAATTAAGGCACAGAGCACTCTCATGACCCATCCTGTGTTTGCGTTTGTGGTTCCATCCAGCCCCAGTCTGATACTGACTCTTTTTTCCCGCAAGTGTATATAAATACCTTGAGCAGCTATTCAAAACAACACAAAGGCTACAAGCTGATTTAGCTTGAAGTACTTCATGTAAACCTATTTACTATTATTTTGCTCTGTCAAATAGAGAAAAAAGAAAGAGAAGCTCTTGTTCTGGGGGTCAGACCAAGTCAGCCCATGGTGTCAGTTGTCTTTTAAGAAAGACAAGTTTTTGTCATGGCATTGGAGGCTGCAGGAGCCTCATGTGTGGGTTGTTTTGCGAGAGTGCCCAGGTGCTGTGACATTTTTTTGCTGGAAGTTTCATTAATGCATTCTTGACATTGAGCTGAACCAAAAAGAAATCTGTTTACCTTGAATGTTATCCCTCATATTACTGAGCTGCTGCACAAGCTGAGTAGCACGGTTGTTGGTCTCCATGGTTTCCTTCTGTATCAGTAGGCCTTTGCTGGATGCTTCATTTCCCTATGAATAAATCATGGGAGCTACACATTAGATTTCTTTTCAGATCCATTTGCACGTGTGAGGGTGAACAGTGTAAACACACATTTTGCTTTCTCCTGACGTGCATGTGAAAGTCCCTTTATCACAAAAAGTGGCATTTACAGAAGTGTTTGAAGTGAAATGCTGTCTGTCTTGTCGGTATTTTCGGAATTGCAGAGTGAGAGATTAAAATCTTTCCCATATTTATCCATCATTTGCTGCATAATTGCCATAAATTATGTACAGTTGTCAAACTCCCATCTGCTGAGTCTCCTAGGCGTT